AACGGGAAACCAGAAAACAGATAGCCAAGGGTCAAATACCAAGAAGGACAAGCAGAGATAATAGCACTAGGGGACTTTAAACAAGAACCACACTAGGGCATCTGACAAGTGTCATGATAGCCCTTTTATAGTGTGGGTTCTTTGACTTTAATTTTGAAGCCACGCCCCCAAAAAGTCCAGGAGCGTGGCCACGTTTGAATTTTGGCGGCATTTTCCCTCTGACGTCGGCGCGCATGCGTCGCGTCATAAAGGTGGGCGTGTTCCGAGCGGCCCGGCGTCAGAAGAGCTGAGCCACCCCCCGGAAGTATTGGAGGAGGACCCCGCGCTGCGTGGGACCGGCGGGGAAATGTAAGCACTCGTTACAGTACCCCCCTCGAGAACCGCCCACAGGGCGGGTAGAACCAGACCCACGAGAGCGCCGCCTCTCAAACAGATGAACCAGACGAGGGGCGTGAACATCAGAGGCATCCACCCACGACCGTTCTTCGGGAACGTACCCTTTCCAATCAAGGAGATATTGCAATTTACCCCGAGATATCCGGGAATCCAATATAGACTTAACTTTGTATTCAACATGATCCTCCACGGGTGCGGCAGGAGGAGTGGAGATATTCTGAGTGTAACGATTACAAATGAAAGGTTTGAGAAGGGAAACATGAAAAGCGTTAGGAATCTTCATAGTATTCAGCAATTTCAAACTATAACAGACTGGATTGATACGTTTGAGTATTTGGAATGGGCCTATGAAACGGGGAGCGAATTTCATCGAGGGTACCTTTAACTTTATGTTGTGAGTACTCAGCCATACCCTGTCACCTGCTACGAATGTAGGAGCAGCCCTACGTCGTCTATCCGCATTTTCCTTTTGAATCTGAGCCCTTTGAGTTAAGATATGTTTAACCCCTAACCAAGTTTCTTTCATATTGTTAAGAGTGCTGTCAACACTAGGCACTCCTGTAGATGAAAAAGAACTCGGCAAAGTTGTAGGATTAAAACCATAATTAATAGAAAAGGGACTATGTTGAGTGGATTCGTGCATCAGATTTTTATGGGCGAATTCAGCCCATGGAAGCAGTTCCACCCAATCGTCTTGGTGCTCAGAAATGAAACAGCGGATGCATTGTTCCAGGCATTGATTCATCCTTTCCGTGACCCCATTAGATTGGGGATGGTAAGAAGAAGAAAGGTTAAGGATAATACCTAATTGGTCACAAAATGCCCTCCAGAACCGTGAAATGAACTGTGGACCCCTGTCAGAAGTAATATCTTGAGGTATACCATGTAAACGTACTACCTCTTTTATAAATAAAGAGGCCAGTTCAGAAGAGGAAGGCAATTTGATTAGTGGGATGAGATGAGTCATTTTAGAGAATCTGTCAATTACAGTCAATATAACCCTATGATTCTTGGAGGGAGGTAGGTCCACTACAAAATC